CGAAATGCGGCGTCGGAGATTCTTTTCACACCGAATGGTGAATATGATCTCAGTCACCGACGCGCAACTCTGGCCACTGATTTAATTAAAGCAGGCACGCCGGACTGAAGAACATAACGCGTAGCAGTCCTGGAGTAGGCAGCATCATAGGTTGCCGTCCAAAGTGCTTCATCCAGAGGTGAAGTTAGAAATAAGTTAGTAAGTAAGCACTGCCTCTTCTTTGCCGCATAAGCCAAAGAGCTGCGGCGCATGTACCCCAACTTGACAATAAAACCCCGCCTCGCCAGGGCTACTGGCGGGGGGAAAGTTGAAAAAGAGTAGGCAGCACGCGGTAATGATGTACGAAAAAGTGCTGATTTTTTTAAATACTTCTTTTCATAGAAAATACGAAATAAATTGGAGCAAATAGATAAAATAAAAATAATATTTTGTGAAAATAGCAAAATATTTATTACAGTACTAAACACGTAAAAATATGTAACGAACAATTTTGATATAGTTGATATAGGTCGACGACGATTCGCTAAGATTTCAATTTTCAGAACGGTAAGTAGAAAGACAAAGAACATGTAATTACATAAAAATCCGGCCTCAAGTGGAAATGCCTTGCGGCCACGAAAGCCTTGTGATCAACAGTAGCGTGGCGAATGATCTCATTCAGGGGCGGCGCCCACTGCCCTGGCTCTGAACGTCTAATTGGCGCCTTCTCGTCCGCCGGCGCCGGCCACGCCTCTATTTGGACCGAACACTTCACCCCGCTGTCGGGCTACGCCCAAATTACAACTCTCTCTCCGTTCTCTGGTCCAGCGGTCACTAACTCATGACCTGCGAGAAAATTTTGTACCTATGTACATAAGGAGTAATAAACTTAGTGTAGAGAAAGTTGTGTAACGCTACGGAATATCGATTTCGATATTTCAAAGGAAGCGAAAGTTTTTGATGTTTGATCCAGAAAACGTCCGGCCGTCTTTTTCTGCCCGACCGTCTGTCTGTCTGTCCGTCCGTCCGTTTGTCAGTCAGTCAGACAGTCGTTCCATCCATCTTTCTGTCTGTCCGCCTGTCTATCCGTTCGTTCGCCGCTCCGTTCGTCAGTCCGCCTGCCCGGGGGGGGGGGAGTGTTGGAGAAAATCGGTTTACGCGCTAACGTTGAGCACAGACGGAAGGACGCACCGACGGACAGACAGGCGCTTAGCCGTAAACCAATATTTCGGTATCAAGGACCCACCAAACGTGAATTCTGTCTACATATTTTTCGATTCCCCCCCCCCTCCCCTGATAGAAGAAAGAAGTCTTAAAAGAATGGAACAGGTCTCATTTTTGTTAAATGCGAGAAAATATGTGTAGATTTTTAGCGCTATTTCGGTATCAAGGTCCCATAGAACATGAATCCTGACTTCACAAAGTTTTAGAGAAAGTAAATTACTGTATACATAGGAACGAGTATTATCCACTTTCTCGTTACCGATGCCGACAATAAGAGTGTTTCTCTCGAAAATTCGGCGTTTTACGGCGCACGATTGTAAGAATTTCTCTTCTTGCGAAGTAAGGGTGAGAAAGTGAAAACTGTACTTTTTGTCACATCTTTACATTACTTTCTATTTGTATATTACTCCTTATACGAGAAAGAAGTGTAGGAGAAAGGAGTTTCACTTTATTAGAATGCATTATTTGTTCACACAAACTATTTGGTCAGGGCACTATTATCCCCGAAACAGAATAAAAACCGAAGACCAACAGACATAGCAGACGTTGTGCACATTGAATGGTACATTATGAAACGATGATATGAAGAAGGTATTAATACACGAGTGTTATTTTACGATGCGAGTAAGGAACTAGCGAGTATCGTAAACTCCACACGAGTGCATTAATACCCATTACATCAAGTTTCATTCGGTACTTTTTCTACGACTTATAACTGTCATAAGTTAAACTTTTACATTCAGTTGTTTCGTGACCACCTTTTCTGGTTTACAGTTATTCAATAATTTGTTCAGTTTTTCGTTTTATTAAATTTATTTTTCTTTGTCTTCATAAACAACTACAAAAATTATAGAATTTTGTATTAATACTTCAGACATGCATTTTATAGTCCTGAAAATGTAAAAATTTTTTGAAATTCATTTTGTGAATACTACATTCTTTCATGCCCTGCTGGTTGATAGAAATTATTCATATTGGAAGCTTAATTAACATTTGAAGATATGTACTTCTTTTGAGAGTAACTAATTAGAGACAATTAATAGGTGATTTGTTTATTCTCCTTGGAAACTTACATAAATTACACATTAAAATGCTACAATAGTTACAACCGTATCACAAATTGAGTGTTTCAATTTGATAAAATACATAGTAATAGTAAACTAGCTACTTAGAATCTGAAGAGAATTTATGAGTGTGCATTGGTATGATGAACACGACTGTGTACTAATACTAGCTGTACTTGCAGTCCTTGCAGTGGCATTGATGGGAGGGGGTAGCCCTGTGGTCTTGCTCTAATCTTTGAATTATCGGAATTCCTTCTGTAACCTTCCTGAAAGTACGTTGGTGTGGGAGAATACGGATACTCGTATAAATGGCTGTAGTATTGTTTATCAGCTTGCATTCATTACTCATGACTGTTTGGGTTCGTGTCCAGAATCTAAGCTCAGTGTTCACCACAGTCTTACTGTTTGATGTTTTTTGAATTGTGTGAAATGCAAGAAAAACAAGGTTTCTCGCTCATAAGACATGCATTATGTACATGAAATATTGAATCTACACGAAAAAATGTAAGTTCATTACTGGTAGACAACTGTTGAGAATACTAAAATTGAAAATGATTAAAATTTTTATTTTTAATCAAGAGGTGAAATAGTTTTCGTTGTATTTAAAAACGTAGTGAATAAGTCTAAACAGGCATTTCACGTAGTACAGGACAAAAGAAAACAGAAAAAATATATAATTTTTAATTGTTTATGTAAAAATTTAAAGAATCTTTCATAATTATCTGATATAACAGGCACTTTCCTAAACATCCAATATCCAGTAATAGTAGACAGTTTTTTCGTAACAAAATTCCCCATTAACTAAGTAATCACTTTTCTAAAAGGCCACTGTCTTCACAGAATGAACAGTTGTCACTGCTCTATGTTCACTGTTCTTATGTATGTTCTTTTCCTTGTTCTATGTATGAAAGGAAACTTAAAACAGGTGGCCCAGCAAATAACACGATTTGTTAGTGTTTTTTTCCTGATTTACCTGCTTGCAGCAAGTAGGATTATAAACCATCCAGCTTTTTCAGAATTTACATTTGACAGGCATCCTATTTTTTATTTCAATATGCTCAATTTGTTTCAGTATACTCAATTCAATATAGTGTATTGATTCTTTTTGGTAATTAAATATCTTAAAAAAGCGATTTAGATCAACAGTGGTCATCTTTTTACTACCGCGGAAGAGAGAAAGTTATGTAATGATGCGCGAAAAAAGGCGAACTTTCGGCAGAAAAATGTTTACAGGTCCTTGTTACGAAAATGAGGATAATTCCAGTTGCTAAATGTATGGAGGGAAATCCTCTCAACGCGTGGTCCAGTGTGAATCCGTTTTGTGGGTCCTTGGTACCGAAAAGTCAATTGACGGCAAAACGTCTGTCTGTCTGTGAACAACGCTAGCGCATAAACCGTTCAGCCAAATTTTCTCCAAAATTGATATTCCCCGATCGATTTGACTCGCGGGTCTTTGAATTTGAATTTTTTTTATTTTAAGGGGCGGGGGGAACTTTATATGAAGCTCCTGGGACGTTTTTAAAGAAAAAGTCTGCATCGTTTTTTATTACATTTTGTTGTTGGATAGTGTGAAGGACGGTTATGAGAATGGTGCAGGTCTCATTTTCGTTAAAAACCTTGATATTTTAAAAATTGCAAAAATTCAATTTTTTTCGGCGTCTTCCCACAACTATAGTTATGAAAATATATTTTTTCCTTAGAGAAATCTGTTCTTTAAAGATATGATTTTGAAATAAGGACGTGTTAAATGTTTCGTAATTTTGAGTATTTCTCGCGTAATTGAGAGTAGAATATGGTCAATTTTTAATTTGGTTTAAACCATTCTGAGTTTGAGAAGAAAATCAAGAAAGAAAATTATCAAAAAGAAAACGAAAGTTTATTTTAACAAACAGTGATATATATTGAATTAGTTTACATTTGTATTGAATTATTTTTTAAAATAATATATTAATATGTCTATAACAAATAATGTAATAATTATATTTGGAAATAAACGTTTCATTTGTAGCGTAAGTTAATTGAATGTTTTCGAGTTTCGATAGCATCTACCACTGCGTCACACCCCTTTTCACTTCAATGCTTTAAACTGTGACAACAGAGTTCACGTGACGTGTTGAAATTACAATTGCTAGCGTTGCGACGCTGTGGATGTTTTGATTCGTAGCCGACAAGGAAGACAGTCCAGTTCGATCGAGAGCGTCTGTGGTTCTCGCGGCACGGAGTGACAAACCTGCAGTGTCAAACCTTGGGGCAGAGCTAGCGGTAAGTAATTTTTCATTGTAATTTTTTTTAAACATTTTAATAAGATGAGCAACTTCAATAAATAATTTATATAGTTTGAGAAGCAATGTATTATTCAATGAATAATATTCATAGTGAAATTTAATTGTTATAGTTATCCCAGGTACCTTTGTTCTATTTTGTAGTTATTGAAAAAAATAACGTTGGTAGGAATATTGAGATTCAATTGGAACGATTCAGAAAGATTGGAAATGACTGAAGCTTTTTTTTTTGTAACACGTGGCCACTTGTTTCATTTTGGACAATATTTGGTGATATTGGTGATGTTGGTGATATTGTGGGCTGTATATCACGGATGCGTTGCAATGCAGATGGTGAGCGATGCGACGGTTCAGGTGGAGGATGGTGAATGAAGCCGTCTTATCCTGAATTACGCAGAACGTAAGTTGCTGTGAATAAATTTATTTAATTTTTTGTATTGGTAGTTTTCAGGGCCCTCGCACCTTTGTTAATGTAATTGTGGGGTGAACTTTAATTTGTTCAGAAAGATGGTAATTGTGTAACTTAATGGAAGCATTGAATTTGTACGACTATGTCGGTTGGACATATTTCATAGAGAAGGTTCTTTATGTAGAAGTGTCTAAACTTTCATACCGTCTATTGAAAGCCTAAATAAGTATGTAATTGTTATTCATAATATTCAATTCAATGACATTTATTTCAATTCATTCGCCTGTCACATAGTATGTAGATAATAGATGCATTAAAAGATTATTCTTGGACGTACATTGACTTTAGATTTTTATCGATACATCATTGGAAGTAAGTGTGAAGTTTGTGATGAATGATAGTAACATTTGTTTTATTAGCCTTAATTGAGCAAAGAACATTGAACTTTAAAGGCTGTTGAAGATAAAGAAAAGTGATCGAGCAAAGGTCGTGTAGTATCGAGAGCTTCGGTTGGGAACAATTTAAGATGGCTTTCTTCGGGGGAAAATACTTCTGAAGAAATTACTTTAGAAGTTTAGTCATTGTGTTGAAAATATATTTTCGTGACTTCATTTTTTGTTGAAAAATAAAGATTGAAGATATTGAATTCGACTGAAATAAGCGATGTAATGCGTAAGTGATGGGGAATACATTAACATTTAAGCCATTTATCTTAATTAAATATGGGGCGTGGATATTTTCGTTAAATCAGTTTCGCCGGAGTGGAAGAAATGATGTAGCGGGAATTTGGATCTATTGTAATAAGTGGTACAGTTTCAAGAGTTTATCGTAGCGATTCCCATCACTTCTTCAAAATTGTGAGATTGATAAGCTGTCGGGCTGAAGCAATCGTGAACTATGAATATCTACAAGATTATAACTCCACTTAGTTTTAGAACCATTGAGATTCTATTTACTTGGCGACGGCTCCTGCAATAAAGATACGTGTGCAGCAGGCAAAGATATATTATAATGGTGGTAGAATTTAGCAGTTTAAATTTTAAAGAATGGCAGTTTGAAAAGAAGGCTATAGAATTATAAAAATTAGGATTTAGCGTATTGTTGAAAATTATGGGAGGAATGTTTGACACAAATATTTTGATGCTTTTCAGATTTTCCCAATAAATTCAGGCAATAAGGAAACTAATTGAATATTTCGCCATTTTGTGAACTTCAACAAATGTAAAAGCGTAGAGTAACGCGTAGGCTTAGAGCCTTCTTCTCGTGACCTCCTCCGCATAGCGCACTGATGAAGCAGAGGCCGCTTGATACGACCCTGAACACTCTCGCTTTCACGGTCGTTTCTTTCCCTTGATTTTTTACCTGTTTTGTCAGTTGAAGGTTTATAATAAATTAATGAACACGGTCTCTCCAGTAAGTTTTGAAACATCTATGTATTATTGTCGATGTTGTATCCCTAGTTGGGGAGCGAACACTAAGGAAACCATAAAATGCAATTTAGAAATTATATCACAAATTCACAACCATATCGCATTTTATCGTAGATTGAACTCGTTGAGAAATGTACTGCACGGACATCAAACATTAAATTAGTAATTTTTTCGGCATTTTACTGTGCGTTTTGTATTTTTAGCAATTGACAAAATCTGCAGTCTTTAATCACAATAATACAATTAATAAATAAAAATAAGTGAATAATTTGTGAGAAATGGCAGTGAAAGAAATTTTGTCGTGTTGTGAATAATAAGTTCTTAAATTTTACCCTTCGAAATTGAAAATGTACAGAAATGAACCCACTAATGGTTCATGATGTTGACCGATTCTTCACCATTGCTTCCAATGGTCAATGGAAAAGGAAAGCATTGGAAGACTTGTGGAACATACACCGAATGAGGAAGTTTCTCTAGAAGAAACGTCTACGAACAATACTTACAACGAAATAATAGAAACAAATGAAAATTTTTAAACTTTAAGAAAAGTTGCCTGCAGCCCATGTCGACCCTATTTTACATAATGCAAAATTGGTGTCCCCACGGGCTCAACTTTCACTATTTAGACGAGATTTCTTGGTATTAAAGTTGCTGGGGGATTTTCTTAGGAATGAGAATCATTCGGATAATTTTTACCTTTATTACCGCCAAAGTGTTTTATGTGCTATGGGGAGAAGTATATTCTGTGCAAGTTTTCTTAATTCTGTGGTATCTACCTTAACCATATAAAAGGTGAATTGTGATTGTAAAAAAATGTTTTTGTAAAAATTGTTTATCTGCGGCGTAAGTATATTTAAAAAAGGAAATATACTTCATGTCGTTGGTGAAAGAATGTGCCACGCCATGGAGAACGCAAATTGGAATATAATATGTATTTCCACAAAACTCTAGAAGACGTGCATAGATAATGTTCATTTATGTAATTCACTAAGCTCCATCGTACTACAGTGTACTCGTTGGCGTATTCAATCGTTGTTGGCGTATTTAATGGAAAGGTTCTCGTAGTTTTACTGAATGTTATATTGTACACATTTTGAAAATATGCTCCATTAATGTGCGTACCAACTTTCATGAGGTGTACTCTAAATGCGCACCTCGAAACGGAGCCCGCATGCCGTGATCTGGTGTCAATTTCATTAGACAAGGTGCGTCGACTCCCGTATAAGATGTCGGCCAGGTCAGCTATCCTGCGCGCTGCAGCATGGCGTTTACAAAGTTGTAATTGTGAAAAATACTTTCATAATATTAACAATATTTATATCATTGAATTTCATTTGTAAAGATCTTTAGAAGCTTGGAGGGGAAAAAATGTACTTCCATTAAAGAACGCAATTGTCAACCTCTAAACTTATATACGGTACGAAATGTTATTTGTCCCATCCTCTTCAACATGGCACAAACAGCATCTCGATACCTCAAACTGTTTTCAAGAAATTTGCTGTGGCCAACGTAGGTGGTCCATCCCGTATAGCAGCCATAACTTCACAATATGCGGTGTGTAGATAGGCTCGTTGTCCTGCTGACAGTAATATCTCGGCCCCAGTCCAAGATTTGCTGCATTTTGTTAGACATCTGATTTTAAAATAGATAAAATTCAAAATTTGTCAACTCTGTAATCAAGAAAATGCAGATTCCCGATACCTGACGCAGACATACAGCACGCAAATTGTTCCTAAGGCTGCGTTAACCTTCTCCACACGTACTGTTGACAGACTGATCCAAATATGTTGAATTTAGTTTCATAATTGAAAATCAGTTTGTCAGTACTCCGAAGGGTGGTTTCTGTAATCTGCTAAATGCAGTCTATCGCGCCGATAGACCTGCTAATCAAAGGCTTCTCGGTTATTCTTTCGTTGTAACCTCTATTTCGTAGTGCCCTTCGAACGGTTTGTGTGGATCTAGTTCTCCCTGTTGTTAAAACCACCCAATAAGTAATTTTAACAATACTTTGGCGAGGATTCCTGCTTATGTGATTGACAATATTCTTGTCTTGTTCGTTGAGGGTCGTTTTTCGGCCTCTACCGCTTTTAATTAATTAATCTGCCATCGTACTGAAACTTGTCTACTATACCATGAATAGTTGGATGAGGTTTTGACACTATCTTCAAAATACCTCGTAGTGATCTTCCTCTTGGCTAAATTCAGTCTTAGTTCTTCCGCTAAGTCTCAAGTAAAATATTTTCTGCTGTAAAATTGTTTCTATAAAATTGTTAGGCTATACCGAGCATCCAAAAGGAAAGGGATTGTATAATTTTAAAGAACCTGTAACAAGTATTGTACTTCAGCTTCTGGGTCAATGACGCCATCTCAATAACGTTTTCGTCCAGTTTCCCTGATCCTCGAGCAATGCTGAGATGGTTCCTTGTTTTGCTTCTGGGCATAAATGTAACTTCATATTAGCTTCTCCTCATAGCACATCACACACAGTTTTTAACTGTTTTTGACGTAAATAAATATAAAAATGCACAGAACCTGTACGTTTACGTTATAACCAGCGTTCTTGAAGTTGTGTACTGTCAAAAAAAAGAAGAAATGAATGTTACGTATGAGGAGAATGGCTTCAAATTTCTTGTGACATATATCCTGAAACATTAGATACCGTACGTCGAATTAGTTACGTACTGCCACATTAATATGCTGCAACACATATAACTCTATACCAACGAGGGAAAATAGAAATTTCAGGCCTAAAAATTTTATACCAATGTGTTTTTTTGAAAAGTATTTGTTCTTCCTTCAAGATGTAATTTAGAGAAGTCACTGAAGTAATGGCCATATCCTGCATTCAATAATATTATCCTTGAAAAAAAACCTTCATGAAACGTGGAACAACTGCTTTTCCTGAATGTCTGAAACAGGTTTTGAAATCTTTTTTCAACATCACCTCATAACACTTCTGAAAGTTTAATAATAATAAGGTATATTTCTCGGATGGTCAGCACCTAGCGTTTCAAAAATATAGTGAATTTACATTTCCACAAAGATGGCTTGGATGAGTGTGCTGAATGTCACATCTTTGCTTCGCAAGGTAGTATGATGAGACCTTGAGACTGGAGGGGGGTGAGTAAGAACAATGAAAGCTAGCCTTAAATTATATATGAAGCTGTTAATTTACCAAGGAAGTTCTTTGAGTCTGTTGGCGATAGAAAAACTATTACCTAAAATATGGCGATAGAAAAACTATTACCTAAAATATGGCGATAGAAAAACTATTAGATTGTTAGCAACCCTGAACATAATTTGTAACGAAGACCAGCAACGAGATGAAAAAGAAAAATCTGTATAAAACCCAAAGAAAATTCAGAGTTCGATATGTTTATGACGCATTCAACAAACTGAATTTAAAAAAGAAAATATATGTATGTAGTCGTAATTAAGTGAATCCCTCAGTCTTATTCGTATAATTGTTTTGTCCGTTTTTTAGTCAATTGAATCCACTTGACCCTTCGGAATTTGAATGTAATCGCCAAGGAAAATAAGTTGAAGGTTGGAAGATGTGAAGGTATGTTTGTATTTATTGCTCTTTGAAGTATAACGATGGTAATTGTATGCTGCTGATCGGCAAATGGATTT